AAATACCCCTAATTTTTTTATCAATCGTTTACAGTTGGGAAAAATATCGAGAGTTAAATATTACAATCTAGAACACTTTTGCTCTTTATTCTTTGTTAAAGTTCAAGACAATAGAGCGCACCACACGAATCCGTTTGTTGTTTCGCTTAAGAAAAACTGAACAATCGGCAAATTATTTACAACATTCAGGCTATTTTTCGCTACTGACGTTTATAGCTTAGTCCTTATAGTGTCTTTGTTTAAACTCTTGGCACAAAATGGTAATAAAATCACTCAGAAGTGCAGAGAACATAAAGTACATGAAATGTTTCATATTCATTTCACAAGATTTTCCTCAAAACTGAGCGCTAATTTTACGACAGCTGCATATTATGGCTCAAAGACTCTAACAGACTGATATAATTATCATAAATCTTCTAACAGATTAGGCTAAAGATCTTTTCTTGAGTAGAAAAAATAAAGCTCTACATGTAAAAATACGAAATGGAAACGAAAGTTTGAAGACAAAATGATACAAAATGTTTAGATTGTTTATGAATAATAATTTAACAATATATTTATTAAATTATATTTCTCTCATTACTTATAATTAAATATTATTTTAATACAAATGATTTAATTCAGAGAAATTGGCATGTGTGTGCTATTTGGAAAATATTACAAAATATCGGGAAAAGATATAACGATAACTTTTCCATATTATATTTCTCTAGAACATTGATTACCAGTATTCTTGAGTTTTTGATAAATATAAATAACACAAATATATCAAATAAGCACGCTGAAGAACTAAATGCTAGATCAGTTATTCATAACTATTGAAATTGGAGTAACTTGAGCAAACTATTAAAGATTAAATAACAAATTATTTCTCAGCTCCTGTGAAATGAAACATTTTTCATTTTCTCAGTTGAGGAAGAAGTTTCTATTTAACCTTTGAAAGTACAGTCCTGATTTTTGCTCATATAAATTTGCTTATGTGCATTTGCCTGGCTTGCATTATTTTATGCAATACGAACATTACATATATTACCACGTGTTTTTGTCTTTCATTCATGCCACTTTTCATTCATGTCTCTAATCTAATATTCATTCTACGTTTTCTTCAACAAAGATTTCAACAATTCTTTGTATCCATTTTTAATATTCAATTCAAGCTGCTATTCAAATACGGGGTAGAAAAGCAAATTCGAAGATATCAGCTGCCAGAAACTTACGACTCATTTTATGAAATAATGAATGACAGTATTATTAATAAAGCAATATAATATAAAAAGCATAATTTGTGTATCAAAATTAAATATCGTTAAATTTATTTCCTCTATGATAATTTTGTGAAAATTTTTAATATAATAAATCCAGCCAACAAATAACTTCAAGATAAATTATTTATATTAAACTTGTTTTTTTAATTCGAGATATTTATCAAAAAATGTTGTTCAGATTTTCAGACCTCTGTCGCATCTTTCTGCATTATTTTAATTCTCAAGTTTTGAATTATGAATGCAACATGCGCAATAACACCTTAACATCTTCTTGAAAAACAAATTTAAAAATTCTGCCTACAAAATGGAAATTATATAATAAATTGATGAAGCAACTTTCAGTATGAAACGTTAACATAATGAGTAGAGATATAAATTTTAAATCATTAAGCAATAATCGTGATAAGACTACACACAGAAACTTAGGAATTAAATTTCAGTCACTTAAAGAAGAGCATTAAACGATGTTGAAGCTCCCATAGAGGCTTATTTGAATTACAAAGCAATTATATTACCCACTAATCATACACATTTACATCGCTTTCCAAGCATTTAATATTCTTTAAGAGCCTTTGATACAGTTATCTATGAACAGGAACCGAAGATCCGCTTGTCCTAAAAATTTTCAAAGGCAATTAAACGATTCGTATTTAATTACCCGCTTGCATCAACATTGAGAGAGTAAACCTGCGTCGTTCTTCCGCAAAAACTGAAGACTGCGTTAAAGATTCAATAACATGTGTTTCTAGAAATGTAGGTTAAGGGACTTCTGTTTTTAACCATCCAAATAATGCTCGGACAGTTTAAACCTTTGTATGCAATACAGAACAATATTAGTCTAATAGCATACAGGAATACATATATCCTGGACCACTGTATGCGCATTTTTCTTCAGAATCTTCGGGCCTGCTGCGCACAGTTTAGTTCGCGGTATCATCATACTCTCATTTCCGAGTTTTACATTTTAAGCTTAGTTGTTGTCGCTAGTCCTATCAAAAAACTAGTCTAAGTGCAACACAGCCAAACGATGTCATTTTACCCTACGGGCGCAACAAAAGTAAAGGTCTTTAACTGAGTTGAGTAAAGCTCTTTTAAAGCTCTTCAACTGAGTGTTTTCCTGATGAGGATAAGGAAAAGAGGATAGTTGAAGAAAATATAAGAGGATAGTTGAAGAAAATATAAGAGGATAGTTGAAGAAAATATATCTCTTTCTCAGACGACTAGATATTTGCTGTTTCAGATACATGCATTTATAGCACAGAAATTTCCTTTTATTTCTTTCTGAACATAGAAAATTTGAAGTATCTTCCAAGATGTATTAAATTAGAGTCTCAATACCTATATATGCATCCCAAGGCTATATCAATACAGATTACTATATTTTTTATAACAAGAGATATCTGTTACTATATAGAAATATAGTAATCTATATTGATATGAAAGAAGCCAAACTAAAAGTTCTACAGTAACAATAAATCTTGTATCATCAAACTTGTATCATCATATCATGCTCATATTTGCTTAATGAAATAGACATAATCCTACTCCACCCCAGACTGATAGCAAAATTTCTCCTCTTTAATGTATACGAACGTTATGAGAATCACTTAACTACAAGTTGCTTTTTGAAATAATTACACCAAAAAAAATATTGTGACTAATAGGCCATTTTGTTAACCTTCAGAAATGTACATAAAGATTAGATTATTTCATACTGCCTTTGCAAACTGTTTGCAAAAATGGTGCCTTTCTATAGAAATAAGATTTTTCCTATGTATTGAATAGATGAATCTCTCTAAATCCATTTAATTAGAAATTATCTTTTTCAAGATTTCAGTTTTTTTACAAAAGACGAAACTTTCTCGTTATAAGAACACTACAGGCTCTCATTTGTTAAAAACATGTGTAATAATGGCATAAGAAAATTCCTTATATTTACTTCTTTAAACAATTCCGAAAAAACATTTCGTGTAAAAATCATAAGCAAAGTTTTTAGCACTGTATACATAACATAAACCTGAAATGACTCATAAAAGAAGACGAGAGTTTTTAATCTTTGATATATTAGTTATATGCTTCAACAATATAAAAATACCGTACATTAACAATCGAAATGGTAGAACAAAAATTAATGCAAATATTTCCGTTTAACTCTGTAATTAGAAAAAGGAAAAGAAATAAACCTCCCTTGAATAAATCATCGCATAAAAGATATTTCAATTAAATTCTGTTTAAAAAAAAATTCATTGCCAAGATGGCATACAAGAATTAAATAAGAAGTCAACATTTATAAAATTCGAAGCTAAGTTTATTCTAAAATATGGATATTTTAGAATTAGGAATCACATTTTTCTGTAATAAAAGAAGGTAAAGAAACTAAGAAAGAAACATATGACAAATGCAAAAATAAAAATGTAAAATTTGATTTTTGTCGCTTATTCATAGATCACCATAGAGTAAAATGACAATTCCCCAGGGGAGGATCGAACTCACAACCTCGGCATATCTCGCTCGTACTGTCTTACAAGTACCGCGCGCTAACCAGTTGCGCCACTGGGGATACACCCTTCACATCGTACTAAAGAATGTAAATGGAGTTTCCACTCATATGCTTTACCTGTTAACCTAGTAAAATACAAACGAAATTGATAGCTCCATAATAAAACTACAGAAAGGGCATGAATTCTTGGTCACTTATGTTATGTCGAAAAAAAAATAACATATTTTTCATTTAACCTTTATCTCTTTAACACTGACTGCTTGGTGCCGCGACAAAAAAAAAAAAAAAAAAAAAAAAAACTAAAACTAACTACTCTAAACTTTGTACTTACATAAACAAAACTTTTAAATCTAAAAGACATCAAGGAAATACATCCTCCCTGGTGTTTTGGTAGAATCACGATTAATTATGCACATCCACAACAAAATCTTTAACAGGCTATCTCTCACTAAATTAAAACTAATTTATATCTCCAACCTGAAAACACATAAATTTCAATACAAAATCTAGAGATAGCCTTAAACCTTTAACATTTCAAATACCACACAGATCTCTTCAAACACCGGGGAAAGATACAAACTCACAATTAAGAAGTCTACTCTTCAAATCAAAATAAATTCAGCAAACCGATCGTATAGTCACCAACACTAAAATTAATTTTCTACTACCGCAATATAATTACCCAGGTTCGGTTGAAAAAACCATGTTTCCGTTAAGGATCACATGGGTGACCTACAGTAGACCACAATTAATACACACAAAAAAAAACATACTATTAAAGATAATAAACACATTTATTGAAAATTCCCACACATTATAACTTAAGATAGCTGGCCAGACTACCCCTACAAAATCTTTTAAAGTTCCTCATAGTTTTTTTTTCTTTTCATAACAATCTCAATTTAAACATTATTCCATTAACTCAAAAATCATAGGGAAACACGTCACAGTTCTTAATCATTTTAAGCAGGAACTCAAGAATATTAAACTCATTTTAAAAAACTAATTTAGAATAAAACATATTGAACATAGCACTTAAACATTAAAACAAAGATTCACTTCCTCCAATTAGTTCAATTGACTTCTGACTATTAAACATTAAATAAAAAATTACTTTCTCAGCTAGAAATTGTTAAAAATATTCAATTTTTATCTACTTAACATGTCAACTCTTGCTTTAGTATTAAACATTTCCAAATTTAAAAGATTATGTATCAAAATAAAAAGTCACTCACGAAATCGGCGTACCACCTTTGAGAGAATCAGGGAGCTGCCCAAATCCATTGATCCAATTTCAAAACACCGAAACAATAACTACTAAATCTTCATCGTTTTTTTTCCGGAACCGGAGCCTTTTCATAGTTCATAGTTTCAATTTGACTCAGGGAGCTGCCCCGATCTAAATTACAAATCCCGAAACAATAACATCCAAATCTTCATCGTTGTTTTCCGGAACCGGAGCCTTTTCATAGTTCCAGTTTAAAGTTTTCAAATTCCTCCGTTAAGCAGCACTTTCACTCAATCATCTTCCCGTTTTCGAAGTTCCACTGAAGATAAGAGAAAGGGTCGAAACTGGAGACAAAAGACCTCAGGCGATGACGACTTTCCATATTTCCATCTTTTCTAAAGCAAAATAGATACTCCAGCACGAACGAGCAGTTCAGACTGTTCCACAAATGGGAAAAAGAGATCTCAGCGACGAAATTGAAAATAATAGGCCGCAAGAATTGCCGCCGTCACCCTCCGTACCCAGAAATCTCGGAGATAAAAACTTAACTGTATACCGCGGTCGACCACCGAAGAACCACCGCGTTTTTCATCTCAGCACCTCACTGATCGCGGCCGGCCCCGTAGGGGCCGCCGTCCAGGTAGCAAACCCCTAAGGCTCCAAAAACCTCTTAAAAGTCTTCTCTAAAAATCGCTTTTTTTTTCAAGTCCAAAAAAAAAGTTTCCCTGCCTTCCGTGCAACGGCTTAAGAAACCTCGGTTTACCCACACCAAGAAACGCCTCAAAATTACTATTGGTTCAAACAACACTAAAATTAAAAAATTTAGCCAAGCCAATCTTAAGGAAAACTTAGGACTCCCTTTCGCCAATTAAAAGAAAGGTCATAAATCGCCACTGAAATTCTCAGAAATTCAGAACTTTCTACAAGAAGACAGACCCTTTCTTTCCCACGCAACAGAAGAATGTTTCCAACCTATAACTCTGTCAAAATTATCGCTGCCCCTTAGAACTATTCGCCTCTGAACGAGAAAAACACGTGTTTTCAACCCCCCCCGCGAAAAAAGGGGAAAAATGCAGCTGGACAGTGACCTCTAACCTCCAAAGAAGCCTACGCGTGAGAAACGGAAATACAACCGCGCCCTTTTAACTGTAACACATATTCAGCCAAACTTAAGGGAGCTTTGCCGTAAAGTTTAACAATATTAAATATTAAACATTAATTTAAAAAAGCTCAATACAAATTCATTAAACACAAAAATAATATAATAACTAAGAATACATTATGCACAGTAAAATAATACGAACTAATTATATACAACAAAAATACACCTTAACAATTCTCCCACGGAAAATACATAAGAATTTTCCATAACACTTATCACTGGCGTTCCTATAGAGGACGGCATGTTTTATATGAAGGATTAGTCATTCCGATCTTCAGGATAAAAAAAAAGCTTAGGTTAGGTTAATCGATTAAGGCAAAGCAACTTGAGGGCTATTTGCCTATGCCTCTGTGGAGGGCTTTCTAAGGGAAACTGGTTCGTATCTACCTTACACGTTAGGAAAACCACGACAGCTTCAAATCAGGGCCATCAATGCATGGGTGCATGTTTGTCTTAGGAGCCCCAGCACAATTATTTGCCCGAAGCCAGTAATGTTGCTAAGGCAACACTGCTTCAGGAAGTATTTTCACGCAAGGTGCATAAAAGAAAACATGTCTTCTACAGACTTTGGTTTCTACCAGCTCACTCCTGCAGCTGAAGAGGATTCTAATAACCTTCGAAACAGACCTACTGATTTATGCAACTTACTCTGGCTCACATGATAACATTCTTTATTCTAGATATTCTCATCAAGCCTCGGTAGCACAGTAGTCGGTCTACTGGGCTACCAAGGCTACCGTAGCAACGCGTCAGTCTCATAATTTCGCCGAAAGACTTATCTGAAGGTCGTGTGCTCGATCCTCACCCGGAGCAAAATGTCTTTTATATACGCTGAAGACTGCTTGCACTTAAACTTTTATGTTTTACTCGGGAAAAAAATTTGGTAAATCTTTTTTCATTGTTTGCGATATTTTTTATACTTTCATTTTCTTCCAACAAATTTTTCGAGAGTAAATATTTTCTAAACATTTTAACTTTATTTAACAAAATTGTTTTCAGTTTGAATTTTCCAAAAAAAGGGGGGAAAAAAAGAAAGAAGAGAAAAAAAGGAGAAAAGTGTTCTATTTTTTACTTCAAAAGTTAACATACACAAAATGTAGTTTTCTTTAATAAGATATATACATCTGTTCTATTCTTCCGGTAAGGGGTACTAATCGTACTTTATTTAATTTTCATTTATATGAAATCATGAAAAGACACCTGAATATAAATATAAACCAGTTTGAGTAAATTTATCCGACACTGTTGTCTACTCCCACTTGCAAATTGAATATGTTATTTTTATGTTTTATAACATGTCTTAAGTCTTGCTTTTTTTATACTGCACTTATTGCTTAAAAAACATCTATTTAAAAAAAAATATTCCTGACTTTAAAAATATATTGAATGATTTTCCTGTATTTTTCCCTTATATTTATTTTTTTTCTGATTTTCCCCATATTATATGATATAGCTTTATATCAATAAAAAATTAATTATTAATTTTTAATAATTTTTTGTAATCAGTGAGATCTTGATTATGCCATTCAGTTGCCAATATATATTCGGCTATAGACCCCTTTGTTCATCATCGATTCCTTTAAAATTTCATCGGCTCCCAAGGGGTCTGTACCGACCCGTGTAAAACCCTGGTTTATCCATATATACTTTGTTCTTCATTTAATTCTTAACCTCACAAATGGTATTCAACGTGTTATTCTAATATTTCAAATGTTATTTCTGAGAGAACTTAATATTAAATTTTAGAAGCATATTTCGCTAGGTTCTTCCTACAAATTTCATTCAAAAACTAATCTTGCTCTCTCTTGTAATTCGAAACAATTTAGAATATTTTAGATCTAAGTACAAAGCAAAAATGCTATTAGATGTTAAAAATTATGTATTGTCTTCCAGTAATATGGTACTGCTGGAATACCATCATTGTTACCTTCATTGACATTCATCTTCTTCGATTGCCGTGACAAAGAATTGGCTTCAAATAATTTCTTTTCCGCGTAACATAAATTAGGACTTGCAGCAAATCAGACAAGAAAAGTTTGAAGCTAAATATGGAAAGTGTTCGGTACATTGAGCTTGTAGAGGAAAAAATTCGCAAAGTATTTGCGATCAAACTAAGATCTCTGAACATAAGAACGTATGCATTTCACTACAATTAATGCTTTTCACTATGAGTCTCAATTCTTGGTTCAGGCCTTCACATTTTCTTATTTATTTTGACTCTGAATATTCGGCAATCATTTCTGACGAGTCTCCCTCGAATACCATTGAATCATTCCAACCCTTCATCTCTTGATCTGAATATTTTCCCTCCTTCTGAGCTCCTTTTCTGTTCGACAAATGATCCCGTGTCTTTAATACTACAGAGCAATTCAATGAAGAATCTTTCATTCCTGATTAAGCATCTCAGGCCTTACCCTGCATATCTGCACTTTTAGTTGTACAGTTCAGCAAAAATTCCAGAGCTAACATAAAATTCTCATTAAGGCCTCTTCAGCTTACGTCTCATTTTGTCTTTCAAAATAGCCAAGAAAATGCACATATCTTGTTCTTTTCTTTAATATATTATTATTAGAGGCGGGAGGAATCTTAAATTTGTTTGAATCCAGATCCTTAAAAATTCTTCAGTCTTTCGAATCTCTCGAGCAAACAAGCATATTAAGAACAAAAATCTGCTGTGTACACCACATAACTTCCTTATACAGACTAATATACACAATTTTTGCTGCACCTCATTTTAAACTTATTTCCTGGAAATTCATTAGAAATCTATTTCTCATTTAATCAATTCATTTCACACTTCGTGACTAGGCAAAAACACATAAACGCTCAAAATATCTTCTTTAAAAATTGTAAAATACAAAAAAAAATTAAAAATTAAAAAACCAAACACAGTTTGAAAACAATTTTTGCAATTAAAATTAGTTTGTACACAAAAATAACCAATTCGACCAACGGACAGGTAGACAAAATATTCGGTCCACAAATTGGAAATTAACTTTTGGTCTCACTAGAAAAAAAGGCACTAACTGACTTAATTCAATATTGTACTAAAAGTTTCAAATGTAAACAAATGATGGCCTCGTTAGACCTAGCGCCGCTTAAATTTTAAAATTGTTGATAATTCTACAACTACTACATGCATTTTAACTAAAGGCACAAAAACCTTAACATAAGGACAACATAATTCAATCACTTTTAAGCGAAAATGCATAATTTGCCAACCTATAAGAATAAAAACACAAAGCTTCCAGAGCCGGGTATGAGAGTGGGTGTGTGTATATATATATATACGCTTGGTGAGGTTGATTGCAACAAAAAAGAGAGGTGCACAACTACATGGTTTAGCACTATATACAAATTTCAAAGTTCTACGGCTAATCGCTTTTGAGTTATGCCAGATAAATACTTACGTAGGTATGTACAGACGTCATGAAAAAATCCCTTCTGAATCCATTTTAAATGTATTTTTCAATCCGTTTTGGAAACCCTAGTCTGTTATTCTCTCCGTACGTGCAAATGTCACATGAAAAAATCGTTTAAACAAATTCGAGAGTATTCAAAATGCCTATTTTCACTGAAATATGATACCCGAAATTTTTCGCAATTATAATACTTCTTTTACGTTCTACAAGGAAGTAAAATAAGAAGAAAAAAGCTTAAACTTTTAACACTAAGAATTTTTACTTTTATTACTAAATTTTTTTGGATATTTAAATTTTACTTTTAACTAAATCAAAACTTGAAATGTCCGTTTAATGAAAAAGAAAGTTAAGAACACCTGTTTTCAAACTATACTTATATTTATTATTTAAGAAGACATAGAGTCAAACTCACTTTTCGTTAAGACGAACTTTCTTCCCGACTTTTAATATATACTCTCAGAATTCCAATAAACGCAAATAAACGCAACATTACAATAAAAACAATAAGATATATTTTAGACTTTAGCTCTACAAAACAAACTTACCACAAATTTACTTCCACTTCATACGAAATATGTATCATTCACAATTTCTGTCCTAGTACCTGGTTCAGTTAATTACAAGAACTAACCAGCTAGGATAAAACACCAAAAACGGAATTCACCAGCTCAAAACAAATTTAACATGAATTTACTTCCATTTCTTACGGAATATATACCGTTCACAATTTCTATACTAGCACA